TGCAGATTTGGGAATTCGCTATTCTAATTTTCCAGATTTTGCCATCTTAATTGCTGCTCTCCAAGTCTGGCAGTAAGCCTGCCTTGCCTATGAGAAAGGCTCACATAATCACTCTCTGGGGAAATAAGAGAGCTGCAACATCCACACATTATGTGGATTGAAATCTCAAAGCTTGTGGCAGCTCAGATGATGTACAGGCTCATGACTGGGGGGGGTGAGGGTGGTGGAGGGGGGGTGCCTGTGTGTCTGTGAATCCTTTAACAGAGTATTTCTCCACCACTGATGCTGCCAGTCCTTAGCTGAACCCAATCACCTTCTAACTAATCTCCTCAACTACACTACTCCCCACTTAAATATATGAATACTTTAAAAATTACTTAAAATATTTGCTTTTTAAAAACTTACTTTTATGAGAGATCTGGCCATATCCTGATTGGAAGAGGAAAGGAAAGAGGAAAAAAAAAAAAAAGTTGTTAAGAATGGATTGGCATATACATATGATGCTACTGCAATGCTTGAAGAATCAAATACAGAAACTGCTGTACACATATTCCATCTAAGTGATCATTTACAACTGCATTTCTCTTTGAAAAGAGTACAAAAACTTGTTTTAGCTAAACCCACACAATTTAGACGTGTTTAGCTCCAGTTTCTTAGATCAATTCTTATATTGGTAAACATGTAGAAATCATGGCAATAATTGTATACACAACAGATTTTCACATTTGGGCAATTCAGTGGCACAAACGCTGACCCATGAATTATTGTGATAATCCTAACTGGCATTCATATGCTATAATTGATGTGGACCTAGCACTTTGATGTGAAGCCTACTCTTTCCTGATTGGTGAGTTTATCTGGTATTAAACTTGTAAAAACCGAAACACATCCCCAGACACCCCACATGGCACCTCTGGGGAAAGGTTTAGCACACTGAATCCGAGTGGTAACTGCTGTAAGGTTTGGGGCGGCACAAGGAGAAGGGGAATGCGTGAAGATGAGGAGGAGCCCCCCCCGCCCTGCTCACCAGCATCCCGCTTGCCCATGAGGCCGAAGAACTGCTGGGGCCGGGGTCTCCGGGCCATCCTCTGCAAGAAGTGCTCCAGCGGCAGCGGCAGCTCCTCCTGCGGGGCGACATCGGCCGGCGCTCAGCGGGGACCTCCCCGCAACCCCCAGTGCC